TAAGTATTTATCCACTTTTGACTTTTTTTGTCAAAATTGGTTCACTTTGACCTCAAATGAAATAAAAATGATATTAGATATTAATATAAAAATAATCTTATTAGATTTATTATATCAAAAAATTTCAAAATATTATTTTGTTTAATTCATATACAATATATATTTTATTTAATAATAGGTCAAAGGTTGAAAACAATTGACCAAAAAAAGTCAAAACTGGAAAAATTCTCCGAAACAGAGGTAGTATTAAGTTAATTTGTAATTAAAAAATAAATTTAACATACTGAAAATTAAATAAAAAGTTATTGAAAACAATATTTGACCTGATTATATTATTTAATCAAATACAAAACATAGTTAATATAAAAAAAATATAACAAAAATATTAGATAGTGTATAAAAAACATTTTAGCTCATTTATGTGATACTATATTCTAAATTAATATTTTTCTTTTTAATATATTATATTAAATTTAGTTTTTAAAAAAAATCTGTTTGATCACACAAACGTTGATCAGTACTTAAAACCGAGTGATATTAGATTTTAATATAAATGTATGTTATTTTAGAATGCAAAATTTTAATGGAGGGGTGTTTTTTTTCTAGAAAATGAACGGTTGAATCGATCAAAACTGTCGTCAGAGATTATTGTTGAGTTCAATTCGACACGTGGATGCAATATTTTTCAAAGAAAATCAACAGATTCCACTAATGGTATATGTACTTTGGTGTACATTAATGTATTTTTTACACAAGTTTATTGTAATATATCATTACTCTTTTTTAAAATTTTTTTTGTTAATATTTTCAGGAACATCAATTCATATGCCTAATTCATTGCGTTCCTTGCGGTCAATTGATACAAATTCTACATTTTCTAACTTGCGATGTTATCAAGAATCTGAACGTCAATCCACAGATGTAGCCAAAAGTGGTGCTGTCCATTTCTCGAAAAATAAAGAAAATATTTGCGTTGTGGATAAAGGTTTGTATGCACATGATTCATCTGACTATTTCTCTACATATAGTGATTTTTTATTTATGTTTAATTTTATACATAATTATTTTGATTACACAGCGCCTGTCGTTCAATCGACATCTAAATCTCAAATGATAACATTGCCTTCGCTACTTTCGCAAACATGGGCCATTGATCCTGATGTTCGTGAAAATATACAAGACTCTGTTAGGGTTAGTGTTTCGAGTAACGTCGACCTGGAGTCTGAAATGTGTTACAAAGATCATTTGAGTAAGAGTAAAGAATTATTCAGAATTGAAGTGGATAAACTTCCAACGATCAAGTATTGGGACATTGGCGATCCAACTTATGTCTACCAACATTGTAAGGCTTTTTTCTGTTATGAAGAGAGGATTGTTAGTACTTCGACAAAACGAAATCCAAAGTATTCGTTGTGTTGCAAGAATGGAAAGATTACTCTTGCATAAAACAAGGAACCTCCTGAAGAATTAGAACGATTAGTGTATGGATCAAATGCACAGAGTAAGCATTTTCAGACACATATTTGTTCATACAACTGTATGTTTTCATTTACTTCATTGGGAGGAAAAATTCAGAGAGATGAAAACCCAGGCCGCGGCCCTCCTGTTTTTAAGTTAGGAGGAAAATTCACCACCGAATCGGTAGCTTACTCCAGATGAGGGTTCACGTCGTCCTAAGTTTGCTCAGCTATATATTTACAATACCCAAAACGAAGATTTCAACCGAATCAATGCATTGCGGTACAATTTCTCATCCAGAGTTGTTTTGTTATATATACATGATGTGCATGTTATTTTTTATAAAATAACATATTTTATTTAATTCTTTAGGAAAGAGGACCGTGTTGAGAGTTTACAGTCTGCTGACGATATGACATATTGAGACTCTTGAACAGTTAGATTTGCTATCCTGAAACATGTTCAAATCCGAGACGAAAAGTCAGAACGGCTATTTCCTAAGACAACGACCTCTTGAGTAACTTCCATAGAGTGAAACAATTGAAGGATGAAAATCTACGATTAGTAATGATAATTTGCAAACGTTATGTTTGTAGCTTGTGACTCACATCCTTGAATGACTCGACTTGCTGTGTTAACTACACCCTTGAAATACCTCTCTTGATCGATCTTGAATTCCATTCTTTGTGTCAAAATACTAAAACCACGATTCTTCATCAAACCAAAGATGCTTCATGATACCGATCTTTGAAAACTATAGTCTGTGAACTACGTGACTCGATCACAATAGTAAAACTACCCTGACTTGAACATTATGTTAAACCTCTCTAGGGAACTGCTGCGAAACAGTTAATACAATTACGTTATCTCTGAAGATTATTATCGATGATCTCATTTGACCAAACAAACTCCGTTATGACCCTACTAAGGGAATGTATGTGCGACAACCAGAGAAGAAATGACGTCACAAGAACAGGCTGAATCATTCAAGTGAAGATTCCGAACCTATATGCGATGTTGGTGTAAGAACTAGTAAAGATTCCTCACTCTATGAATTCATGAATTGAATCACGCACTGAAGATATTATCTTCTTCACTCGAAATGAAATCAACCATAGTGTTACATCAAACCTGTCATTATCAAGAACGTATCTGGATATATTCCAAACTCGATGAAGAAAGTTGAATACGACAAGACGTATATGAAACG